CTATTTTATCAGATGGTACAAAAGTAGTACCACACTAGATGCACAGGAGAGAAATTAATGCATTCACACATTGGGTGACTTAAGAAATTAAAGATTAAATCTTTCTTGAAATCTCAGACTGATAAGGCCTTGCTTTAGACTGAAGGCTCCTTGAGGGTAGCAACATTTGCTGCATAGCATGTGCTTGACAAATTTTGGTTAAACCTGTCATTCAAACCTCTGTAATCAATACATACTCAGTTTCTGGACTGAAAAACTATGTTAGTCCTATTATTGGAGGTGGCTTTGCACAGAAGCTAGGCACTCAGTCTTCTTTTAATAGAATTACAGGGGTGTTGATCTAAGCTTTGAGAGGCAGTAGAATACAGTGGTTAACTGCCAGACTACCCAGATTCCAATTCCAACCCCACTGTTTACTGTTGATGTATATTTAAAAAGTGACTATTTCACACACGCCAGGCGCTTTTATGAGTACTTTACAAATAGTACCTGAATTAAACTTAACACCTTTAAGTTAACTTCTATGACAACTTTACTATTCTTTAATAGCTCCATGCCCCAGTTTTCTCTCCTGTAAAATGGGGATAGTAACAACAACAAAATACCTCACCCAGTTATTGTTAAGATTGAGTATAAAAGTGCTCAGAATACTATCTGGCACATGGAAAGTTAGCTATGATTGGTAGCTCTTACCAGCAGAGGCTGTGACGAGGGAAGGAAATCAGCTTGATGTAACTTAACGATTCCCTCTTATGCTAATGATCACTTCAAGGGGACAGATGGAATTATTTGGACTTGGGACTAAATCTGAAGCATTTCCCAGTTAAATTGGCTCTGTTTTTACGGGAAAACGCAGTGGCTGGTGCCGAGATGGCAAATACAGGAAAAAATACCTCTGAAATCTTCCAGTTTTCTGTATCAGCTCTGCCACGTCCCAAGTCCACGTTATCATCTCTTGCTGGGATAGCTGCAATAGTCTCCCAACTGGGTCAGTGACTCTTCTTTAGCTGTCTCTGTTTGCCGCTCCAGGAGATTAACCTTTTCAAAACACAGAGGCAAATCGGATTGGATTGTGCTCATGCCGAGAACGGTCTACTTGCTTCTCATCGCTTTTAGAATAAGGACCCAAATCAGTACTTTGTTGACTGCGTCTTGTAGGATCCAGCCTTGGCCTGTTCCCACCAAACTTGCTTCTGGCTATCCCTCCCCAGGGCCTTCAACTCAGCCACATCAGCCTTCATTCACTGTTCAACAAATATTTATTTGATCACCATGGATTTACATTGTCATTGAGGATATATCTGAGACCAGTAGAAACAGTTCTTTGTACTCATAGAGCTTATATTTGAAGAAGCGGGGGAACAACAAAACCCAGACAAATATGCAAATTAAAAAAAGGGCCCACTGAGATAAGGTGGACAGGAAGTCTTCTCTAAGAACACACCATTACAGAGAAATCTAGAGGAAGAGCCCTGAGCCACACAATGATGGGGAGGACAGAAATTGGATACAGAGATCAAGCTATGCAAAGGTTCATATATACTAGAGAGAACCTGGTGTGTTTAAGGTGCCCAGAGCAGATTGCCTTACTGCACAAAGAGAAGAAGAGAGTGAGGTTGGCTGGACGGTGATACTTGCAAGGCCTGGTAAAGAATTAGAAATTTTTTCCTTTTTCTTTTAGAAAGTCTCAGAGTTATTTTTAAAAATAGAAATCATGGCACAATGTACATGATGATACCTTGCACCTCGATCCACCAATTACTAACTTTTTACCACATTTGCTTTTTTTTGTCCTATTTTCCCCATTCTCTCTATTCTTTCATTCCCTCTCACGTTCCATTTTGGTTTTGTTTCATTTTTTGCCAAATCTTTTGAAGGTAAGTTGCTGAACACCAAAGCAGGTATCTTCTTCAGTCTTCTACAAAGTCATGCATTATCACATGCAAAAAAATCTCTTACTGATTCAGTATCATCTAATATATAGTCCATATTTAAATTTCTCCATTAGCCACAAAATGTTTCTTTGTAGTTACTTCTTCCTCTCTTTTTTTTAAATTTTATTTTTTAAAATTTACATCCAAATTAGCATATAGTGAAACAATGATTTCAGGAGTAGATTCCTTAATGCCCCTTACCCACTTAGCCCATCCCTGCTCCCACAACCCCTCCAGTAACCCTCAGTTTGTTCTCCATATTTATGAATCTCTTCTGTTTTGTCCCCCTCCCTATTTTCATATTATTTTTGTTTCCCTTATGTTCATCTGTTTTGTCTCTTAAAGTCCTCATATGAGTGAAGTCATATGATTTTTGTCTTTCTCTAATTTCACCTAGCATAATACCCTCCAGTTCCATCCACATAGCTGCAAATGGCAAGATTTCATTCTTTTTGATTGCCGAGTAATACTCCATTGCGTATATATACCACATCTTCTTTATCCATTCATCCATCGATGGACATTTGGGCTCTTTCCATACTTTGGCTATTGTTGATAGCACTGCTATAAACATGGGAGTGCATGTGTCCCTTCGAAACAGCACACCTATATATCCCTTGAATAAATGCCTAGTAGTGTAATTGCTGGGTCGTAGGGTAGTTCTATTTTTAGTTTTTTGAGGAACCTCCATACTGTTTTCCAGAGTGGATGCACCGGCTTGCATTCCCATGTAGTTACTTCTTTAAAAAAAAAATCTGTGACCTGTCAGAAGGGCTAACATTAACAACTCAGGCAACAACAGATGTTGGCGAAGATTCAGAGAAAGAGGATCTCTTTCGCACTGCTGGTGGGAATGTAAACTGGTGCAGTCACTCTGGAAAACAGTATGGAGGTTCCACAAAAAATAAAAATAGAACTACCCTATGACCCAGCAATTGCACTACTAGGTATTTATCCAAGGGATACAGGTGTGCTGTTTCGAAGGGACACATGCACCCCCATGTTTATATCAGTGCTATCAACAATAGCTAAAGTATGGAAAGAGCCCAAACGTCTATCAATGGATGAATGGATAAAGAAGATGTGGTATATATACACACACACACACACACACACACACACACACACACACACACACAATGGAGTATTACTCAGCAATCAAAAAGAATGAAATCTTGCCATTTGCAACTACAAGGATGGAACTGGAGGGTATTATGTTAAGCGAAACTGGTCAGAGAAAGACAAAAATCATATGACTTCACTCACATGAGGACTTTAAGAGACAAAACAGATGAACATAAGGGAAGGGAAGCAAAAATCATATGAAAACAGGGAGGGGGACAAAACAGAAGAGACTCTTAAATATGGAAAACAAACAGAGGGTTACTGGAGGGGTTGTGGGAGGGGGGGACGGGCTAAATGGGTAAGGGGCATTAAAGAATCTACTCCTGAAATCATTGTTTCACTATATGCTAACTAACTTGGATACAAATTAAAAAAATAAATTAAATAAAGATAACAAAAAAATCTGTGAACCAATCAAGATTTATGAATTTCATTTGTAAGTTTTGTCTCCTGACTAAAGCACTCCTTTACCTTGTTTTTTTCTTTTTCCCTGACACTGACATTTTTTTCCCTGACGCTTTTTGAAGAACCTAGGCCTGCTGTCTTGTAAAGTGTTCTATATTCTTTTCATTTTGTTTTGTTTCCTCATAATTAGACTTAAACATTTCTGGCACAGGTATCATTAGGTGATAGATCACTCCATCATTGGTGATGCTAAAGTTTCCTCATTTGGTTAAGGTATGTCCAATAAATAAACCTCTACATTGTAAAATTCCCCTTTCCCTTCTAATTATGAATTACTCTCTAGGACATTCTTTGAGATAGTGTTAATGTCCTGTTCCCCAACAACCTTTCAGCCAATGATTTTAGCATCTTTTATCCATTGTTTTAGCATGTATTCATAAGGCTTACTCCTATCAATTTTTACATTGGGAGTTGCAAAATGGAGATTTCCCATTTACTGCTTCATTTGTATTCATTAATTGACATTCTTGTGTAAAGAACTTTTCATTTTTATTCCATCTCTCCTTCTGTCTCTCATGGAAAGAATGTTAAAAAAATGAAATCTGTTTCAATCTCTCACCATCATTATTCTTTTTGATGCTCAAATTGTTCCAAGTATGGTCAACAGAGGCTCCTTTAAGCTAGGTCCAGTATCCTTTGAAATGACTCTGTGAATCTCTAAGGATTTCTTTGCTTTCTGACAAGAGTGTTCCAGGTTTGCTTTGTAATTCCTTGCTCCAGATGAGAATCAGCCTTCTCTCCAAGGAGCACTGATTCGTTTTAGGGAGGAGAATGGTATTTAGAAACCACTTGGGCGGCTTGGTGCTAGTGTGCTCATTGTTACTGGGGTGTCAGAGTTTCTATGCCTCTAAGCCCTGTCAATGGACCAATTGAGATTTAAAAAAAAAAAAAAAAAAAAGGAAATCACAACTTTATTCTACTAATGCCGATTCAAATCCAACACTCTGGGATTCTTCCTTAGCTTCTATCATTCCATATTTGTTATCTCCCTTCTCCCACAGTGAGAAACTTGGTTCCAAACAACATGAGTATATTCACTCGTTTGCTTTTTCCAATAATGCATGCATAGTAGTTTCAAAACTACTATACTAATACCCTTTTCAACATCAAACTTACTAAGTGAAGTTACTGATTTCTTTGTACTTTTTGCTCTTATGCTGTATTCCAGAACTCCTAACCCCAGTTCATGGAGTACTGTACTCAAGTAATTGAATGAACTCTGTATGGTTGTGCTGGCATTTTGATACACAGGTATGTTCAGGTCTTTTTTGTATTAAGTTTTAGGGCTTGCTTTTATTTCCACTGTTTTAGACTTAATGTTTTGAAAGGGCAAAACTATATTTAAAAAAACAAAAGGTTATTCAGAGAAATCAAACTGCCATCACTAATCCTTGCATAACATTCCCACCCCCCATAGGTGACCACTTTCAGCTAATTTTCTTATTTAGGTTTTGAGTTTATCTCTTAAAAAACAAGAAAAAAATGTGTGTGTGTGGTATATATGTATGTAGAGTTTCATTTTTCCTTTCTTACACAAGTTAGTGTATTTTGTATATTCTTTTGCATCTGTTTACTAAAAAATATAAATATGATTTTCTTAAACATTTTTAAAAAATGTTTATTTATTTTTGAGAGGGAGAAAGAGAGACTGTGAGCAGGGGAGGGTCAGAGAGAGACACACACACACAGAATCTGAAGCAGGCTCCGGGATCTGAGCGGTCAGCACAGAGCCCCACGCCAGGCTTGAGCTCAGGAGCAGTGAGATCATGACCTGAGCTGAAGTCGAAGTTTCAACCGACTGAGCCACCCAGGCGCCCCTCATTCAGCTGCGTTTAAATCCCAGCTCCCCCATTAATAACCATATGCTTTTTGGCAAATTACTTACCTATATGAAGTCAGCTTCCTCAGAATCTATAAAATGGGGATGATAATGTTATTTACCTCAAAAGGTTGTTCTCGGGATCGGTAAGACGATCCATTTTATATGCTTAACACCAGCACAAGGTAAACGCTCAATTAACCTTAGCAGTTATATTTTTCTTTAAAATCAAGTACACCAGGGAGAGACGGCCTCAGTAATAAATGCTTGACATGAATATTACAGCACCACACTCGGAAGAAGAGGATCACTTTAAAAGAGGCAGAGGAGGCTGTACTGGCTCTGAACATTTTGGGCAAAGACCTTGCCTATGCATGGAATTTAGACTGTCAAAGCACAGCGCCTCGCAGCGGTAGGTGCTTTATACTCTCAGAATGAGAAAGAAAGAAAAAAAGAAAGGAAGGAAGAAAGAAAGAGGAAGAAAGAAAAAGAAAGAGAGAAAGAAAGAAAATGCTTATACGAGTCTATTCTGGGAAAAACTCATTTCGTCCACGAGGGCGGCTGGGGATGACATATGGGGTCACGCAGCGAGGGAAGTGGCCCCTCGGGTGCGGGCAGCGCTAGTTCTAAGCGACTCTCGGGACAAGTAGGTCTGCTCCCGCCTGCAGGGACCGGACCGGGCAGAGGCTAGCCCCCATTCCTCGGCCCGTCCCTGGGGGAGTCGCGGGGCTAAGTGTGGTGGCAGCGGCCTCACCTCCAAGCCTTCGCTACGTCTCGTCTCCACGACGGTATCCGAGATTGGCGTCCGTGCCAACGGAGGTGGTAGCCGCCGCAACCACCAGGCAGCGTCCCATCCCTCGCGGCACGGCGGGCTCTGCGGGAAGCTCCGACCCTCCGCACGCAGACCACCCACCGGCCCCGTAGCCCATCACTTGCGGGCGATCAGAGATCCGCCCCAGATTTGAAAGCTCCTTCCGGGACCTAGTGGGAAGCCCACGGCTCGAGCCTCTGCGATCCTAGGCGCCGTTCCGGAAGCCCCGCCCACTCCCAGCGTGCAGTGCGGTGGCTTGGCCGCCATTGTTTGAATTTGAAAAAGGAAACATCGCGGTGCTGCTCGCAGATCTGGCAGGTCTGGCAACTTGTGCAGGTGAAGAGGTGGCTGACTGCGCGAATACCAGACTTGAGGCTGGGAAACGGTGCTGGCAGTGTGAGTACCTTCCCAGGGGATCCCGACGCCCCTGAGGTTACTCTCGGGAAACTGGGTTGCAGAGCGATGGGTGCTCCTAGGGCACCGTGGGCACGGCCTGCGCATCGCAGGGTTGAGCCATACTACTTGGGTTGGGGCTTAAATGTCGTCTCCACCGCATATTAGCTGAGTGAGGCAAGGCAACGTATTTTCTCTCTCTGGGTCTCAGTTTCCTCATGTGTTAAAAGAGGTAGTAATAATAACATTTATCCTCTTCCGGCTCTTGTGAAGATAAAATAATATGTAAAGTTGTTAGAAACGGTGCCAGTATATAGTAGGCACCAAGTGTTTGCAATTAGTGTTTTTTGTTATTGCTGCTGCTGTTGTTGGGGCGCTGGCCTCCATTGCCAGGTCTAGTTTTCTGGATCCCGGAGGTGAGCAGTTTGCTTGGCAGATGATATGACCTCTTTTTTGGGGGGTGGTGTGGGGAAGCCCTGTCTGGCTGTAGGTGCTTTTATTTCCACGCTGCTTCCACTACCAGGGGTTTGCCCTTTGGGGCTTTTTAGTACCAAGCGGAAGAGGGTGTGTGTGGCAAATGTGAGACTACTGTCATCCCCCAGTTTAGAATGTTTCCCCCAACTCGTTGTACTTCCTGCTTCAGTGATTCCTTCTGACACAACTCTAATGTTCCTTGCTGAAGGATTAGTTGACAATCCTGAATTCATGCCTTAAGCGATCTTTGCTTAAGGTGATCAGATTCAGATTCACTTTTTTTTTTAAATTAAAAAGATGTTTTAATGTTTGTTTATTTGAGAGAGAGAGAGAGAGAGAGAGAGAGAGAGAGAGAGATAGCAGGGGAGAGTCAGAGAGAGGGAGAGAGAGATTCCCAAGCAGGCTCCCTATTGTCAGCGTGGAGCCCCTACAGGTGGGGCTGGATCCCACTAACCCTGAGATATGACCCAAGCTGAAACCAAGAGTCCGATGCTCAGACTGAGACAGCCAGGCACCCAAGGTTTACTTTTGCTTTTAAAACGAAGTAGCATGTTTACCCAGAAGCCGCGGTAACAGTCTATGTATTTTATTAGATCTCCACTACCCAGGACTTCAAGTTGCAAGATCCTATAAAGGATTCCTCTATTAGGAGGAGGGTTCTTTTGAAACTGTATTTTGTGCATGGCATTCAGAAACCTCATTCAGTAGTGTATTTGTTATTTTTCACAAGTGTTCAGCCATGGAATCTCACTGGAGAGAAGATAAAAAGATTCACATTCTCAGTCGTGGGAACAGCCTTTGAAACAGGTCTTGAACCCTGCTGTTGCTAAACATAATATCACTAAAAAAGTAGTACCAATTTTTTTTGATATAGAGGATTTTATTATTCTAATTAAGTCATTAGGGAATTTTTATCCTCATACATCTCTGAATATGTTGTAGGGGATACAGAGTAGTTCTTCTTGCCCTCAAGAGATTTCTAGTCTAGTTAGGAAGAAGTTAACTTCTCACACTTAAATACAAGTTAACCAGAAGTTCAGGTTGTGACAGTATATGTCAACAATTTTATAAATGTTAAGAGGTAGTTCATTGAAACTGAACTATGAACAAGTACAAACTACTATAACCTTGCTTTTTAAAAGAGGTATAAATATTCTTTTTGATTCAGTAATTTAATAGAAGGCTTATCATTTTTTTTTTAATAATTGAAGGCAAAGAATGAAATTTATCTTCCAATTTCCTGGGTATTTCTGTAAAATCTGACTTATGCAATGTCAAGCCAGTGCTTTAATGTTTTTGCAAACTTCTCTATATTCTAGATCAGTGGTTATTTCCACTCTATCGGATACCCTTTTTCTTAATTTTCACCCATACATTGGGTGTTTGAAATATTCTATCAAACTGCATTTTAAGTAATTATTTCATTTTTATTTATCACTGACAATACAATAAAGACAAAAGCAACCAAGATACTAAAGTGTATGGTTGGTTGATCCTGCAGTTTCCTGGGCTTTGTTGAAGGTAAATAATTTCCTTTGTCTTTTTGAGATTTAGGAAAAACAGAAAAACAAAAACAACTCTGTTGTGTTGCGTTTGTGGGTTTCAGGGCTGATCTAGGAAAAAGATATGACCACAGTATGTCAGTATCACACAGGAACTTTATTGTGATAGCACTTTGACAGGATTACATGGGAGAGAGGTCCACCCCAGCATGAAATCTTTCAGAAGCTAGAGTGAAGGACCACCACATAGAAGGGGGAAAAGGTAAAGGAACCTAGGGGGTTGGGAGGGGACGGAGAGGAGAATTAGACTTGGGGGTTTATGGTCTTAAGTGGTGTTGTTACTCAGAAGCACAGTGGGGAGTACCTGAGTCAGCCAGCTCCTAGGGGCATCAGTGGCTTGGGTTTTTATAGTCCTGAATTTGTCTCTGCGAGCAGAAGTTGGGTGCAGTTTCGTGGGATGTGCAAACTAGTTATGCTCTGGTTGACTTGAAAAAAAGAAAAAAGATTATTTGGGCTATATTAAAAGCAAATTGATGCGTAAAAATTTTAATTTGGCACCTAATAGGTTTTTGAACTAACATTCCTGGCGTTCTGTGAAGAAGTAAACAACACAGGGCCAATAAACAGGGGCCATCTTTGGCTTATTTATATAATATGTATGGATGCCCATTACTCTTTTCCTGAGCCAGGAACCCTAGTTTGGGAATCACTGTTCTTTTATTTCATAATACTGTCAAAGAACATCAAGGAGCTCTCTTTCTTCCTGCTATTATGCACCGAGTAGATTGTCAATAATTATTTGAATGTTAAATTTTTTTTAGTTAAAGTTACCTGTAAGTTTACGTTTAAGTTTAGTGCCTTGATGTTTAGTTGTAATACTTTGATACATTATTCCATATTCACCTTAATTTTTAGCACCTACAATGTGTCAGGTACTGTTTTGAATGTGGTCACATACATTATTTCACTTTTCACTTGCATTAATTGGAAGAATTCAGTTGAAAGAATTCAATTGTCCAGATAACTGAATTTAACTCGTAAATGCTAAAGCATTACGAAGGCTTATAACTAACATTTTCAGAAGACATTAAATAACTAAAGTAACACAAGATTATTATTTACTCTATAATTATTTGATTTCGGAGAGGATTTCGGGCAGAGATTGAATGTTTTATATTGTCTTACTTAATGGACTACCTTTACTCATGAAATCTCTGGCTGAATCGACCTATAAGTTGGATCATATGAATAGTAGTGGCAGGCTCTGTTCAATATTACTTGATTCGGAATCTTTATAATTTTGATCATTTGTCTTTTCCGTGGGTCATCATCGTGTTATAGATGTAATGTTCCCTTCTCTAGAAATCTAGCTATGGGGTTATTAGTGGGCTAGACTCAGACATTTTAAACTATGAGTGGCTTATATGCTAATTTATTAAAATTATCTAAAATTACTGTTATTCTTGCAGAATGGAATCTAATTTAAATCAAGATGGAGTGCCTAGACCATCCTATGTTTTTAGTGCTGACCCAATTGCAAGACCGTCGGAAATAAATTTTGATGGCGTTAAGCTTAATCTTTCTCATGAATTTTCCTTAGTTGCTTCAAATACTGAGGTAAGTACGAGGAAAGCATTATGCTGACTGAGTGCAAATGTGTGTGGTGTGCACACACTTGCAGACAGGTATGACCAGAGCTTTCCAGACTTTGTGGGTTTAAGGCAACCTTCTATCTCGGTAATTTTTTCATGGTGCCCTAAATACATACCAGTTCTTCCAAGTAGTAGGTCCGAGCAGCTTAATATATAACTATACCTTAACCTAGAGCCATTTGAAAAATATTAACGTAAATGAAAAAAAAAATTGTCTTTCTTTAATTTCCACAGTTATTTGCTGTAAGGATATGTATATCTTTTGTGCACATCATAGCTTCTCAGGCTTTGGAATCAGATTAGATATTGCCAACCTTATTTCCTGTTCTTCAGTGTTTTGGGGTAGTACTTGTTTTTTATCATAGCAACCACTGAAGAATCCAGCTTCACCAAGATATGACATCAAAAGAAATGGTATGATCTAAGGTGGCAACTGTGAACTATTTTGAACTAATAGTTCACGGTGTTCAACATGTTAAGTACTGCCATGATTTCCTCAAAAATACAAGGCATTCCACTATGCCCCTAGGAATTGCATGCCTTACTTAAAATAAACTAACTCAGTAGTGTTTAAAAAGTAAAAATCCTTCCTTCTACCACCGTACCTACTACCACTGTTTGTTTTGTGTCTTTGTAAACTTTATTTATTTTTTAGTTTTATTTATTTGAGAGAGAGTGAGCGAGTGAGTAAGTGAGCACGACTGGGGGAGGGGCAGAGAGAGAGGGAGAGAGATAATCATAAGCAGGCTGCACGCCGTCAGCACAGGGCTGCTGGGCTTGATTTCATGAATCATGAGATCATGACCTGAACTGAAATCAAGTGTCCGATGCTTAACCTACTGAGCCACCCAGGCGCCCCACCCTGCCTTGAGTACTGTAGCTTTATAGAATGTCTTGAAGTCGGATGGTGGCAGTCCACCAACTTTGTTCTTGTCTTTAATTTATATTGGCTTCTCTGGGTAGTCTAAATTTAGTTTTAGCCATTCTAATAGATATATATTGGTATCAAGTTGGTATTTGCATTTAATAACTAAATGTGTTGAATATGATTTCATGTGCTTATTTGTCATTAGTGTATTTTTGGTAAAGTGTCAGTTTAAATCTTTCCCCATTTAAAAAAATTGGATTGTTTGTTTTTATATTATTATTTAATTTTAAGTGTTCTTTATATTTTTCAGATATATGCTTTATAAATATTTTTTCCTAGTCTGTGGGTTGCCTATCCTCTGTTGACAGTATTTTTTGAACAACAGAAGTTTTTTGTTTTTATTTTAATGTTTGTTTGTTTTTTAAATTTATTTTTGAGACAGAGAGAGACAGAGCATGAGCAGGGGAGGGGCAGACAGAAAGGGAGACACAGAATCCGAAGCAGGCTCCAGGCTCTGAGTTGTCAGCACAGAGCCTGACGCCGGGCTTGAACTCACGGACTGTGAGATCATGACCTGAGCTGAAGTCGGACACTCAACTGACTGAGCCACCCAGGCGTCCCTGTTTTTTGTTTTTTAAAAAAAGAGTTAGCTAACTCTTGGCTTTGGGAGTAGATTCCCGTGAGTCGTCACATACGTGCAACACGCAGTGCTCATCCCACCCAGCAAGTGCCCTTCTCAATGCCCATCACCCATTTTCCCCACCCCCATCAACCCTCAGTTTGCTCCCTGTATTTAAAGAGTCTCCTATGGTTTGCCTCCCTCTCTGTTTGTAGTTATATATTTTTTTCTTTCCCTTCCCCCTAATGTTCTGTTAAGTTTCTTAACTTCCACATATGAGTGAAATTGTCTTTCTCTGACTGACCTATTTCACTTACGTACCCTCCAGTTCCATCCATGTTGTTGCAGATGGCAAGATTTCATTCTTTTGCATTGCCAAGTAGTATTCTGTTGTCTCTCTCTCTCTCTCTCTCTCTCTCTCTCTCTCTCTCTCTCTCTCTCTCTCCACACACACCCCACATCTTCATCTTCTGTCTTCATTCATCAGTTGATGGATATTTGGGCTCTTTCCATAATTTGGCTGTTGTTGATAGCACTGCTATAAACATTGGGGTACATGTGCCCCTATGAATCAGTACTCCTGTGTCCTTTGGATAAATTCCTAGTAGTGCTATTGTTGGGTTATAGGGTAATTATATTTTTAATTTTTTGAGGAACCATCACATTGTTTTCCAGAGTGGCTGCACCAGTTTATAGTCCCACCAACAATGCAAGAGGGGAAAACAGAAATTTTTAATTTCATCAATGTTTTCTATTGTGGATTGTCCTTTTGGTGTGATACCTAAGAAATCTTTGCCTAACTCAAGTCCACAAAGATTTTCTTCTATGTGTTCTTTTAGAAGTTTTACAGTTTTAGTTTTACATTTAGGATGTGATCCATTTTGAATTTTTATAAACAATGTGAAGCATGTATCCAAATCCTTATTTTTTTTTTATGTATAAATATCTAATTGTTCTAGCATGATTTGCTGAAAAAGCTATGCTCTTTGTACTGCATTTCCTTTGCATCTTTATTATAAATCAAATGTCCTTCTCTAGGGGAGTTTATTTCTGAATATTGTTTCATTGATTTGTCTGTCTTTCTGCCAGTACCCCACTGTTATGATCACTGTAGCTTTGAAATAAGTGTTGAAATCAGGTAGTGTTAGCGCACCCAATTTCTTTTTCATAGTTTTGACTATTCTAGATACTTTGCATTTCTGTGAGAATTTTTAGATGAGTTTGTCAATTGCCACAACAAAAGCCTCTTGGGATTTTGATTGCAGTTGCATTGAATATGTAGATCAGTTTTAGAAGAATTGACATTTTAACAATATTGAGTTTACCAAATGATGAACAAGGTGTATCTCAATTTCTTTTGGTCTCCTTTAATTTCTCTGAGCAATGTTTTGTAGTTTTCAGAGTGTAGGTCTCTCACATCTTTTGTCAAATTTATCCTGTATTTCATGATTTTTTATTTCTTCCAAATGATATTGCTTTTAAAATCAATTTCTGGTTTTTCTTCCCAGTGTATAAAAGAATAATTGATTTTGCATGTTGATCCTGTATCATGTTAACATTACTAAACTCGTTTAATAGTTCTAGAGATGTTTTTGTAGATTCTGTTTGATTTTTGTATGTAGATGCTAATGTCTGAATGGAGACAGTTTTATTTCTTCCTAATCTGGATGCCTTTTCTTTCTTCTTCCCTTGCTTACTTTTTCTTTCCCTCCCTCCCTCCCTCCCTCCTTCCCTCCATTCTTTCTTTCTTTCTTTCTTTCTTTCTTTCTTTCTTTCTTTCTTTC